AACGCTTTCGGTAATTGATCTTCATCGATATATTGTCGTAAAACTTGTTTCCAGTTACCTTTAAGTAACACCAGATCATAAATATATATATAACTATGGCTATCAGCATTATTTTTCGACAAATAGGCATGTAATTCTATTCCAATGTTTTGATTTTTATGTAGCAGAAATGTAACTTACTGCCAAGGACGAAAATTTTTTGTTTCGTTTCTTCGCTAACGAACGGCTTCATAAGTGAATACATGACGGGAAATATAGCTGGAGCTACACGTTATAAATTTATGATAAAATGAATTTCGCGATGACCTTGATCAATTTTATAACTTAGATATCTAGCTATCATTTAGTAAAATCTGATGTTAGTAGTCTAGCATAGGATTTAGAAATAAATCATTGACGAACCATTTATTATAAAAACTCGCTTCAAAAATTCTGGATAATTCTCTTCATACATTTTAACAAGCTGTTTAATAAGCAAAAATGACAATATTGAATGCCACATTCAAGTCGCTAGACAGTTTAGTAAATACATATTATTATCAACGATAAAAATGATAATGTTCTTATCCGTTATGAATTTCATCGAAGTTAAGTAGTTATATCACATTGATGTATCACAATGGCGCAATATTTTAGAATTTTAAGTAAAACCAACGGGCGATTATGATACCTTAAAAAAGCAGTCTAGACCTGTGCATCAACAAAAATCTAATATTAGTTAAGTTCCCTCTGGAATTCCAAATTTTAATATTGATAATTACCAGGCTTCCATAAGTGTTTTAATCCCAGATTTGACATATCTTCAATGGTCGTCATGGACTCAATACGGCGCCCAAGCTAAGAGCAATTGATTAAAAATATGAGTACGTTAATTTATAAAACGATATCATGCAAGCTTTAATAATTAAAGGATCTACGTAGACTCTAATAGCTTATCGTTACTCTAGACCCAATATTGAATAGATGATGGCAAGTAGTGCACTAGTGAAGGATTAGTAAGTCACATTCGTTATATATGCCAGCTTTTTTACCTTTTTACTTTGTTGTTTAAATTTTACTGTTGCGATCTCAGCCATGTACAATTTGTACTTCCAGATTTCTTCTTTCTTGACGCAATGCATTAGCCCTAAAAGGAGGGTTGATAATTCGATATTCTCAATATGATAAAGTTAACATCGACAATGAAACTATGAGACCATTATTAGCATAATTGATTATACGCGTATAACTAATCTACCTCAACGTATAAAAATTTATAGAGCTGAAGAGATAAAAGTATAATATCTTTTTATTAATTAGACCATATCTATCATTATGTATTGCTATAATAAAATTTTTCTAAAGTCATCACACGATCAAAAGTGATTTAGATATATATGCATATATCTAGAAAATATTTGCTTATATCATCAGCTACATAGAGAAATTTAGATTAATTTAACGATCATATTGTCATAACTATCGAATAAAGAATGTGTTGACATTGACTGCCAGTATCTTTGTCATGATTATTTATAAATGATATTAGCACAACTAATAAAAGCGCAAAATAAAGTAATAATTTTTGAAGTCAAGGTATAGATTTTTATTACTATACCTTTGATATCCAGATTTCCAATCGGATCCACCAAGACCGGTGAACCTTCTTTATCGTAACCAAAATAATTGCCTGCGTAGTAATCTTGTATGATCTATAGATTTTATTAAAGTATTGAAATATTACATTAAGATAGTTTATAAACTTAAGTCTGCCACCGCTAATATGGAATGAGTCCCTAATGCGAAAATCCAGCACTAGTTTTATTCAATAGTAAAGAAATACGATAGGAATTGTAGTTATAATTATCGGTTTAAATCGCTTTATTACAGCATTTTCCTTTCCTGCTGACATAGACATGACCGCTCAAAAGTTAGAGTTATAAATAATAGCTGTGACTTTCTAGACATTAGATACCGTACTGAAATATATGACAAGACTGCTATATTTTCTTTGCAAGATATAAATGATGTATATTCCTATCTCGTTCAACTTAATGCTGCAACTATAGCAAACTACTTTGTACTTTGTAAAATTAGTCGTTCAGTAAACTTAATCTAACATTTACGATAAATGAAAATTTTGATCATATGTAAATAAAAATCATGACCAGCAAGTTTCTTTGTTACAGCTAAACTATAAATCTAAGGATAAACGAAAACCCTGTAATGATAACCTAGGAATACTGCTGACACAAAAATTTGTAAATCAAATATAGATTGAAGATCAAATCCTAAAACTATAGCTAAAGTAATAATATAACTTAAATGATTCCAATTTGCCATTGTTAAGAATTGTATATGTACTAACCTGAGGTATTTTATAAGATTGCACCAAATCATCCAGTTTCATTTCCTTTCGAAATTCCATACTCTAAATGTTTACAATATACGTGTTAAAAAATCAGTTATGTATTAGCTTTAATTTACTTTTACTCTCGATATTTTTCAAACTTCCGGTATTTCGACAACCTAAATTGCCACTACTGATTGTCATTACTTTATATAACAAATTTAAATAATTTACCTTTCGCAGCATTGCTTCTGATTTGGCTAAGTCGAATTTACGAGCTATTGTTTATCAGTAGAATTCCAATATAATTAAAAATAAGTAATAAAATATAACAAGCACTGAATTTACGGAAATGAATGCAAGAAAAGAAGAATAAACCTTTCAGCCATCGAAGAAGAAAGTAATCGTCATGATGAGATTGGATAATATCGGACACATTTTGGCGGAACTAGATAAAATTAAAATATTAAAATTGATGAATAACTGATTTCTTTAATATTTTTAGCTGATATCTGTAAAGTATCCAGTTTTTTAAACGATGGAGAATAGTAGGGACTAGTTTTGTGTTTACAGAGTGCATATTAAAGATATTAGCTACGACCCTATATACACAA